TCTCTTCTCTTCTCTTCTCTTCTCTTCTCTTCTCTTCTCTTCTCTTCTCTTCTCTTCTCTTCTCTTCTCTTCTCTTCTCCTCTCTTCTTCTCTTCTCTTCTCCTCTCTTCTCCTCTCTTCTCCTCTCTTCTCTATTTTATTTTATTTCTTTCTTTTACTTTTCTCCTTTGGACATGAACTTCTATCCCATCCCACAAAGAGGTTCAAACAATGATTTCTCTGTATTTTAACCCTCTTTTGTCACATTTATGATGCCATTCTGAGCAGAAATTATACAAAGCTGCCTATGAGAAGCTCAAAGATAGGTACAGCGTTATTGTGGATGATCCCAGGAATCTCCTGGCCAAGTGGGGCAGCACCCTGAGCAGCCAGGTAGAGTGTGAGCAGCTGAGAGAGCAGCAGCTCCGTGTGCAGCCATCCCACACTGCAGTATCTCAGCCTGGGGATACTGCCCTGTTTCATCACTCRGTCACACATCTCCATCCTGCCACCCAAAAAGGAGCCCACCCTTTTTGGGAGAGCTGCTCTGTACATCTGTGCTGTATGTACTTCCATTGTTGTGCATCAGAAATCCCATCTTCCTGAAGCCACTGGAGAGGTTTTTAAAAAATGCAGAATCAWGCATTTCTTTTTTATTTCCTCTCTTTCCAAATCTTTGTACTCGTTTCTAAAAAAAGCAACAGTGATATATTTGCCTTAATCTCTAAATTACTCTCATCTCCCCCCAAAAATTCACAATTTCCTTAAAGTGAGAGCAGGCAAATTTTTTAATCTTTCCTCTTGAGCAGTGCTAATGATTCAGACATAAATTATATGCACATGTGGATGGACACATACAGCACCTGGCCTAAATCTCTCCACTCTCCAAGTGCCTGGGATCTAGAGCTGTCTCATTGTTTCTGTTGTTCACGTGTCTCTCTTGTCCTTGGTCACCATTTGCATGGACAGAAAAGCTATAAATCCGTTGCCAAGATGCTCCTGCAGCACGGATGCAATGAAATTCTGAGGCCAGACATGCTGACAGCACTCTACAACACATACCTGTGGAGCCAGGTAATCTGCAGAGCTGCTGCTCTAAGACACCTTAGGTAGCCACTCTAGCTGCTTGGATTTTGGAATATTTACTGCTCCCTGGATTTTGGAATATTTACTGCACCCCAATGTGCTTCATGCTGGCTGTGATAAAATGAAACAGAATATCTGAAACAGTATTTGCTGTCACTGGGACATCACTCAGCTCAGCCTGAGCTTGTYCCCATTTTCTCCTTTCATTAGAAATAATTGTTATGTATTTCACATAATTACACCAAAAAAGCATTTTTCTGTACATTTCAGATATTGGATGTTGGCTCTTCCTGATATTTCCCTAACCCAATTCCTGTTCTGACACCATTTCTTGGCTTGGCCAACTTTAAAAACCACAGTTCCTTAATTSAGGAAGAACATGATGGATCTGACAAGGACATGACAACATTTCTGTCCCATCTGCCCAGAATGGTGTCAGACACAGAACAGTTATTTCTGCTCTGAAATCACAGCTGCTGGCAGTAACCTCACCCTCTGCCCTGGGGAAAACCATTCCTGATCATGGACTGGCATTTAAATTAYACCCTGGAAATGCAACAGTAGAAAACAATTACATGAGAGCAAGAAGGGTGTAATTCTTTGTTATTRCCTGTGCCAATAGTGAAATTCTTCAGTAATAAATTACTGGAGGTCTTTAAAACATTTTTGTTCCATTTTTYCCTGTGGATTTCCACGATTTCATTTAAAAACTCCTTGCAGGTAACTTTGTTTGAATTCGAAAAAGAAGTGTCTGACCTGCATGTCCACCCGAGTTCACTTCATGTTATCATCGATTATTTGTTCATCATTTTTCATATTTTGTCTGTCATAATCCCATTTCAAATGCATGGTTTTATTTTCTGATAAAGGGCAGAGCATGAAAATACTTTTTTAAAAACATGTTCTAACCTTTTCCAGCTGCCTTTATGCTGCCTACAATGAATTCCCATTSTTGTTGAACAGCCTGTTCTCCCTGAACTGTGTGAAAACAGGTTTGGAATCCTGAGTAGGGCAAGGTGATCTTTAATAAAATCATTACCAGGCACAAATCCTGCTGCCAAAAACCTTGAAAACATCCTGGCATCGTGATACATTTGGTGGAGGTTTTTATCTTCTGCTGTGTAAAATGATTTTATTTTCATTCTGATCCCACAATCATTAAGGTTGGAGAAGATGTCCACGATCACCAAGATCAACTTTTGACTGAAAATTATGAATATTTTAAAATGAGATATTTCCCATTATGAAATTTAAAAGTCACTGTTCTGCCAGACTGATTTTTTTAGCTCAAATCTGGACATTTTAGCCTGAAATAAAAATAAATAAAACAAAGATAGGCAGCCTTTTGGCAAGGAAGGGGTTTGCAAATTCAGCTCACGGTGCATGTTCAGCTTTCTTTGGCTTTGTGGGAGGGTTTTGCAATTTTACCCAGGGACACAATCCCATCTCTGGAGGAGGTTTTGTGATTAACTTTGAGCCTTTCCCCATCCCCAGGTTCAGTACAAGAAGGACTATGAGAAGAAGAAGGACAAATACACCACAGTTCTGGACACTCCGGAATATTTACGGACCACCAAGGTCAACAAACAGATCAGTGACGTAAGTGGGGATCCTTTGGAGAGGGATAATCACCCCCAGGGAATTTCCACCAAAGATTCCAAGAGATAATCCCACCTTTGATTTGTTCCTTCAGATTATTTACAAACTGGAATACAACAAAGCCAAGCCCAAGGGCTACACCACCATCCAGGACACGCCGATGCTGCTGCACGTGCGCAAGGTCAAGGACAGGATCAGYGATGTGAGTAAATCCTCTGGGGCAGAAAACCACACAAAATTCACTTTTGAACTTGATAGTTAGAGTTTGTTACTCCTGTGTAACACTGTCAGTGAAAATCATCACCTTCTTAGATCATATTGGCGTCTAAAACTCCATTTTATGCATTGAATGCTTTTGCATGCTGTATGCATTTCTGCATTCTATGCTTTTTCATGCTTTATACAGTTCTGCATTCAATGCTTTTTCAAGACCCCCAGTTTTTCAGGAAGGTTTGTTTTTTTTTTTATAGAATGTTATTCTGGAGCTCTTGGAACATTTTTTTGTTGGAGCAAACTACCTCTTTCTAGAAATAAAAGCCATGGAACTGGTCTCTAAATCATGAATTTGAAAAGGTTTTTTTTTCTGGGTTTTCTTCCTCTAGTAACTTTTATTTTTTTGAGGCTTGAGTACAATTTATTGCATTGCTGTGTTTATTGATTTCCTCTATGGATAGTGTGAATATGTAAAGTAAATATTCTGATCTCAAATAAAAAAGTTTTGATTCTAGGACGATAAAAAAGTAAGAAAGAGAGAGAAAGGAAGATGGAGTGGACAGAATAATGGTGGATTTAGGATTCCTGTCCTAATTCCTTCTCCTACYCTTTCTCTCTGATCTTTGTATTGCAGTTCCTTAGGTACCCATAAATAAAATGAGGACACTGACACTTCTGAAACTCAGTGTAATGCTGCCAGAATGTCATTCATTTCCATAAATTTCTACGTAATGAATAAATTTTAATAAAAATTAAAATATTTTTAATTAATAAATTTAAAGAAGAAAAAGCTTTTTTTATCCAGATACTAAAGTGCACCACTGAGAGAGATTTGAAGTGAATTGAAGGACACTTTTATCTTGACAGGATTTTATCTTGACAGGAGCAAATTTAATTCAGTTTTTCATATTCTGATGATTTCCTCRTTGATGCTGATATTATCTTTGTAACCATTTTTCCATCTTTGTTCAGCTGAAATACAAAGAAATGTATGAGAGGAGTAAATCTCGCTGCAACGTCGTGGCAGATTCCGTTCACATCAAAACTCCCAGGCACGCCTACAAACTGAACAGCAAYGTGAGTTCTGTCCTGTTCACCTTTTAATTTCATCCAGGAGAGTGGTGGGAACTGGCAGTGGGAGCCACAATAAATAATTTCCAGTCCCACTGAATTTTTTGGACATTGCTCTTGATCCTTACGCCACTGGAATAAAATGTATTTTAATTTATTTCATGCAAAGGGCTCAAGGAAATGTATTTTAAATTATTTCATACAAAAGTTSTCACTCTGGTGAGTTGTCCTTGAGCTCTTTGTGTCTCACACATCCCATTCTTCTGTGTCCTCTGTTTTCCTGGCAGAGACACAGCTGTCCCAAGGATTCCCTGTGGTGATGATTTGTAGATAAAACTGAAGTTTTATGGGAAATTCTCCTCTATTTTTTTGTTCTTGGTGCCATTACCCATCTCAGTAAGAAGGATCTGGAAGTTCTCCCCTTCTCCAAAGCCAGGAGCTCATTTCAGCCCTTTTCAGATTCCTTTTTCCAGCAGTGCAAAAGCTGGAGAATGGGCAGATTATACCAGAGGGAAGCCCTGGTGTGATGTGGATGCACTTTCTCACCTCTTCTCACACTCCAAAAGAGAATTTGCATCTGTGAGTTGTGTGTAAAGCCCTCAGCTGCCAATGACCCCTCATTTGGTTTGTTTTTCCTGAAAACAGCTGGATTATAAGAAGAAATACGAAGCAGCCAAAGCYCACTGGCACCTGATCGCTGACAGACCTGACTTCATCCAAGCAGCCAAGTCCTCCCTGCAGCAGAGTGATGTGAGAAAACCAGAAAACACTGAATTCATTCCTTTCCCCATCTCTCCCATTCAGATTTTTTTTTTAATTGTAGAAGATCTAAAATTCTTTCATGTTTTATTTACTCTTCCTGCAGTATGAATACAAACTGGACCGGGAATTCCTCAAGGGATGCAAACTCTCTGTCACAGATGACAAAAACACAGTGCTGGCCCTAAACAATGCCATCCTGGCCAGTGATGTAAGTGCTGAGCTCACTCTTCCTCTCCAAATCTCTACTACCACTTTACTCASTACATAACTCTCTGTTGGAAACAGAATTGGATTAACAACAAAGCTTTGAGCAGCAGTTCTYGGTCTCACTTCATTATTTGAATTGATTTATTTAATTAACAAATAGACTGAGTAAAGGTGAAGAAATTTGATCTTGTAAATGCCACTGGTTCATGGATTAAATCAATATTAAATCAATATTACATCAATATTAATCAATAATAATCAATATTAAATCAATATTTAAAGTTACCACTGCCTGAGCACCCCTAGACCTTACACCCAGGTGCATCTCTGCATTCCTGGTATTAAAATAGAAATATCTGGAGAAAACAACCAAAAAAAAGCTGCAGGTATAAATTTGGCATAGTACAAAATATCTTTAATAATTACACAAAATATCTTTAATAATAACATAAAAAATCTTTAATGAAAACACTGATTATCATTAATAATAACACAAAAAAATCTTTACTAACAGCACAAAGTATCTTTGATAATTGCTAACAATATGTTAATATTCTATATTAATAAAATTCCAAGTGAGAGCCACAGGAATGTGTGGGCTACACTGAATTTATCTTGTAAAATATTAAAATATGGGTTTTTCTGCAAAAAAATTTGCATTAACAAACAGCCACAACGGTAATAATTACTTTTTAATCTGCCAAAAGACAAAATGCACCTTATTTAAATGGAGTTTTTTCCTTCCTGCTAGATCAAATACAAAGAGAAGCACAACAAAGCCCGAGGGACCTACCAAGTTGTTCCAGACACCCCTCAGATCCTGCTGGCTAAAAATGTCAGCTCTCTGGTGTCCGAGGTAAAACATTCATTTATTTATCCATTTGAATTGAATTCCTGAACTGAATTGGACCTTTTTTCCTAAACTAAATTTAAAATTTAAATTTTAAGTTGTAATTTACAAAAATTAAATTTTAAATTGTAAGTTTTCAAAGTTATATTTTACATTTAGATTTTTGAAATGAAATTTGAAATTTAAATTTTCTTTGAATTAAATTTTGAAGGTTTTCAATGAAACTTGAATTTCTGGGTTTGACCTTTTGTTCCCTGTTCTTGCAGAACAAATACAAAGAGCAGAGCAAGAAGCAGCTCCCCCATGGTTCCTTCACCACCCTGCCCGAGACAAGGGACACTGTCCACGTGAAGGAGGTGACCAAGAACGTCAGCGAGGTGAGTTCCCCTCCAAAAAAGATTTTTGGATTATTTTAGGAATGAGGTGACTCCTCTTAATTCATCTACAGCAGTTCCAATGAGCTTTTCCCCAAATTTCAGTAGAATTTCCTCCGTGTGATATTAAAATCTCACTTGTGGCCCTTTCTGCTCTTGACAGACAAACTACAAGAAGAAATTTGTGAAGGAAAAAGGGAAATCCAATTATTCTGTCATGCTGGAGCCTCCCGAGGTGAAACATGCCATGGAAGTTGCTAAAAACCAGAGTACAGTAAGTTTGCCTGTTTTTTCCATAAGATAAAGCAAATTCAGCTGGAAAAACCCAACTTTATGGATTTCTGAGTGTCCACCCAGGCTCCATCTTTGGGTGTGTTTTGAAAAATAAAGGTAAAAATACTGACAAATATCAAATTGYACTGAAATAAAGGATTTGTACTYAAATCCCATGGTAGGATTTCAAGTMATCTGGTGCCAATCACATCTAAGAAATCTTTCCTCCCTTCAGGCATGGACAGAATTTCCCATATTTATTTCTTTATTTGCAGACAACTTGCAAATAATCAGATTCTTTGTGAATTTATCTCCAAAATAAACCCATGCATTGTCTCAGCAGCATTGCTGTGTCCTTTGCTGGTGCATTCCCCATGAATAAACCTCATGAAAGAAAAATAATTTTTTTTCCTCTCTCTTTTCCTATGGATTAGATTGAATACAAAAAGGATGCCAAGTCCAAGCTCCACTACACACCTATAGCAGATCGACCAGACATTAAGAAAGCAACTCAAGCTGCCAAATTRATCAGCAATGTAAGTGTTTTAAAATCTTCTGTATTTAGCATTAATTTCATTGCAAAATCCAGCAGAATTATTGAAATGATTTATTTATTTCTTTTCTTAGATTGAGTATAAGAAGCGTGGAGCAGCGGGCCTGGGTGTGACCATGCTGGGACGTCCAGACATTGAGTTGGCCAAGGAAGTGTCCAAACTCACCAGCCAGGTAAGGGCAAAATGAAAACTTGGTGAGGCTTCAAAGCAGTGAGAGAAATGAGACAGAAAAATAACTTAGAGTGATCTCATTGTTGTAATTGAAATTATTTCCAGATTAAAGCAAAGGGAATGGAAGGGAATGTGGGAATGTAAAAATTAAATACCAGCACAAGGTATTGCTTTGTTAAACTTTTCTACTGATTCACTAAAYGTCRTTAGTGGAGGTAGAAAAYCTTCTTAAAAYGATGYTRTGACATAAAMACTGCAGCTGAGGTGTCTGCCCTGTTCTTTTCCAGCTCTTTGGGTATTGGCTGTACCAGACCCAGCCTTTACCTGGCTCTTATTCCCCACTCTTTGAACAGACACTCCATTTCTTTCAGCCACTTCCTTTTCTCTTCATGCCTTTAAAAGAATCTTTTGCCAGGACCTCAATCCCTCTTGGTTTTTYTCACCCCTTCATGTTTTAATTCTGKTTTTTTTGCCTTTCTGACCTTGCTTTCTTGCTGCTGCTCGTAGGCAGAGTACCTCAAACACCACATGAGAGGCCATGGAGCTGCATCCTATGACACCCCCTGGATGAGAACCTTTAAGAAAGCTAATATGCTAAGTAGCCACGTAAGAGAACTTTAATTAATTGTCATTAATGCCATCAYTGTCCTTCTGTGTTTTGCTTGCAAAATTATCTTGCAATTCTGCAGCACCACGTGAACCTTGAAATGTCACTCTGCCCTTCATAAAGGTTTTGGAGTTTCCAGGTTTTTTAATAGAGGTTTCCAGTGCACTCACCCAATGTGAAAACTCACCTTTTTCACCCAAAACCCCTAAAATTTGAGCTGTCATTGCCCGAAACTGAAAAAAAAAAGGAAAATATATGTGTAAATATGCTTGTATGACCGACCTGAACAATGGTACTGGTGATTTTCAATCAACAGTCACCAAAACTTTRTTGTAACTCTTGAAACTTCTACTAAAATTTCATTTAAACTTTAACTGAATTATTTTATTGGCTGGAATTTCGTTGTGGAAGAGCAGACTAKGACTGAATCAGCTCCAGTGAGAAGTGCAGCCTGTACTGGTTTGAGGGTTCATTGTTACTTAGGCTTCTTCCCACACCAAAACCTTTGGAAAACAGAAAAACAGAGCCTGGATTRCCCATTTGGAGGTGGCAGCAGACAGGTCTGTGCCATTTCAGTTTTACACAAATATTTCCAAGTGACAAAAAAGGGAGATTTTTGTTTTTCCATGTCTGGCTGTGTCTGCTGCATGCAATGTTTGAATGTCCACCACGGTGTCTGCAGGAAAACCAAGGAATTTCTCAGAAGTTAAAATTCTCTACAGAAAAAGAAGAAATTCTGGTTATTCCCATTCAGTGATGAGATCCTGGTTTTCCATGCTTTTGGGTCTTTTAAACATTCTTTGCTGAGATTATTTTTGTTCTGAGACAAAACAAGCTGCTGGAAGAGCAGTGAGAGAGCAAACAATGATTGGCATCATCTTTAACTTTTTGGTTTTTTCTCTTGGGCATCTCTTCTCATAAACTTTGTAAAGCTTCATGTCCAGTTTGTTTATCCAGTTGAGTTTTTTAGTTGGATTTTGTCTGTCTGGCTCGCTTGCTTTTAATTTTGCACAGATCTCCCAGCAACTCTTCTTTTGGATTTAAAAAATTCTCATTCTGAAAATTCCTGTGCCTCCAGCCTGGAGGAATCTGAGTTCTGATGGCTCACATTGATATGTTTTACCTGGCTGATGCTGATGTGGTTTGGAAGTGTTGCTAAAACTCTTGTAGMATCTAATTAATTATGGATCATTAGTAATTAACTGTGTCCCTGTTCTGTTTGTCTCTTTATCTCTAATCCAGTCAGAACACTGTTGTGTTCATAACAATGTATGTATTGTGTACATAACAATGCATAGAAAAGCATTTGATGTAGACACCTTCAGTGCTCTCATGTCTTGAGGTTTTTAAAGCTCTTACTTCTCCMAAAATCTCTTTTAACCACTCTTATATACTCTTATTAGGTTATATATATTTAGAATATTTCTATATTTTATATATATAATTATCTTATATTTTACTCTTATTATACCAGTTTTTATCTCATTGTGAAACACCTTAAATCAATGGACAGTTCCAGTTCCCATCAAATGAAAAAAAAATGAAAAATTCTTCACCGCCAAGGGTCAGAATTTTGGCAACACAATTCTTCTGGCTCTTTCATTTTTACAATGAGGAGATGTGACCTGTGCACTGGAAGAAAAATCTCAATAGCTACAGGTGTAGATTTTCTTTAAAACAATCTTTATTCCAGGGCATGTCCAAGCTCCTGCACTTTTGTTCTTCTCCAAACCAACCCCATCAAAATGGGGTCTCTTTGCTTCTTCAGCCGAACCAACGAGGCCCCCAGAGCAGCTTTAACACCCTCTAACACCCTGGCTGTTCTCATTTCAGGTGAAATACAAGGAGAACTTTGCCAAAGAGATGGGCAAGAAGCCCAAGTATGACCTGAAGGAGGCCAAGATCTACAAAACCCTGAAGGACGCGCACAACATGGCCAGYGAGGTGCGTTCGCTTTCCCGGGAAGGGAAGATTCCCACCCACTCTCCCAACATCTCCTCCACATTCTGGGAACCCCCCAGCCCAGGGGGATCAGCAGAACCCTCTCCTGATGGGATTTGTCCCCTCAGGTGAAGTACAARGCAGACCTGAAGAAGCTGCACAAGCCGGTGACGGACATGAAGGAGTCGCTGCTGATGAACCACGTGCTGAGCACGAGTCAGCTGGCCAGCGCTGTAAGCTCGGGGTGATCCCAAAAAAAAAACCCCAATGGGTGGCAATTCCTGGGAATTCTCACTGCTAACTCCTGCTGTAACAGCTGCTCCCTGGGTTACCTCCATGGACAGCACTGGTAGTGATCCTTTCCTCCAATTCCTAACAATTCCTCTTAACCGGCGGCTTCCCCGCCTTCATCTTCTGCCAAGGGAAAGCTGCTAATGTTTTAAAATCAGAATATTCATATTCTGATCATTTTTACTGGGTTGATTCTTGATCCCTTTTTAACTGAGTGCAGAACTGCTAATATTTTAAACACTCTGATGATTTTTACTGGATTGATTCTTGATCTCTTTTTAACTGAGTGCACTACACTAATATACCTTTTTTATATATTTTCTTTCTTTTTTGCTGATTACTATAATTCTTTTATCTTTTTTTT